ATAAGTATTTTTCTCTTTGTTGCTTTTGAAAGGAAATATATTTGTTAGAAATAATTTTTTTAAAAAAATGAACTGACTTGGTTATTTGAAAATAATTTCCCATAATTTTTGTTGTAGACTCTGGAACCTAAAATGTTTTTTGATACTGTATTTTTTTTTTTTTTTTTTGAGACAGAGTCTCACTGTGTTGCCCGGGCTAGAGTGCCGTGGCGTTATCCTAGCTCACAGCAACCTCAAACTCCTGGGCTCAAGCGATCCTTCTGCCTCAGCCTCCCAAGTAGCTGGGACTACAGGCATGCGCCACCATGCCTGGCTAATTCTTTCTATGTATTTTTAGTTGTCCAATTAATTTCTTTCTATTTTTAGTAGAGACGGGGTCTCGCTCTTGCTCAGGCTGGTTTCGAACTTCTGAGCTCAAACAATCCGCCCGCCTCGGCCTCCCAGAGTACTAGGATTACAGGCGTGAGCTACCATGCCTGGCCCGATACTGTATTTTTTTATTTTTACTCTTTTTGAGATAGAATCTTGCTCTGTTGCCCAGGCTAGTGTGCAGTGGCACGATCATAGCTCACAGCAACTTCGAACTCCTGGGCTGCAGCAGTCCTCCTGCCTCAGTCTCCTGAGTAGCTGGGACTAGAGGTGCACACCACCACGGCCAGCTAATTTTTCTATTTTTTGTAGAGGTGGGGTCTGGCTCTTGCTCAGGCTAATCTCTAACTCATGGCCTCAAGCGATCCTCCCACTTTGGCCTCTCGAAGTGCTGGGATTACAGCCATGAGCCACTGCGCCTGTTTAAAAAATGTGAACAAAATTATGATGGCATGTGAAAAAAGCTACAAAAATAGTTGTCTGTAGGTTTCTCTTTTAAAAGTAGTCTTCTCCATCAAAGGTAATGTTACGTTCTCAGCAAAGTGAAGAGTGGCCAGTGAAGTATCTTGACTAGACATTTGATTCTTGTTGAAACAAAACTGGCTTGCAGATGTGGGAAAGAATGGGGAGGGAAGATGGACTATTTAGGGGGAGAGGCATAGCTGTACGAATTCCCACAGGATAGTAAAATTTGCTACTCAGATTTTCGGTAATACTGTTGAGTTATGTGAATGAAACAGAAACACATAGGATTAAACCTTTTGGTGTTTCTTAGCTTTTTGTTGTCAAGACTTCTTTAACGCTCTTAAAATTTATTGAGGGGAAAAAAATTTATTTAGGACTCCAAAAAGCTTAGGTTATCTAGGTTATATTGATCAGTATTTACTGTCTTAGAAATTAAAACTGATAAAATAAGAATATTCATTCATTAAAAATACCAATAATAGTTTCATTAATTCTTATATAAATAGCATATTTTAGTGAGAAAAATGTCATTGCTGTACATTGTTGTCAATCTCATTAATATCTGGCTTAATTGCAGACAGCTAGATTTATAAATCTGCTTCTGCATTCAGTCTGTCATTTGGAATATTTCACTGTGAGTCATGAGAGAATGAGAGTAAAAAAGACCAATGACATCTTAGTAGTATTAAGAAAATAATTTTAAGCTCTTGGACCCCTGAGAAAATTTCAGGGACCTCCTGGAGGAGTCCCTGGACCATACTTTGAGAACCACTGGACTAAACTATGTATTTCTTGAGGGCAGAGACCATTGCCTTGGTTTCCTTTCTTCTACTCCTTGGGGCCTCGTTATATATTCTTTACACTGACTTCTCAAACGTGTTTACTGATTCAACTTTCCCCTATAAAATTCCAGGGACGGGAACCATCCAGTGAATCAGGCCTTAACTTCCTTTTCCACGATGCTTTTCCCCTTAATTAGTCATGCTGTAAGAATCCACCTAACTCCTTTGACTCAGTCGCCAGAGAGGTGCCGCTGGTCTCTTTTCACTGTGCCTGGTGACATTGTAGACTGGTTACAAATCAAGATAAGTAGTTTCGAAAAAAAATATCCCCTTTTCAGTAAAAAAAGTTCTAGGAAGTCTTGGAGGTTGCTGGGAGAAAGAAGCTGGAATTGTTTCCTAGGAACAGAGTGGAAGTCTTTGTAGAAGTTTTTGGGGGCCAGGCTGGCAAATGGGACCCATGCGGCTCTCCAGGAAGCATGTGCCGTCTTCCAATTGACATTTTCCGCGCTAAGGCAATGGCAGGTGGCCTGAAGACTGAGTGGGAACCAGCAATGGTCTGCTCTCCAAGTAACAGCATTTTCATTTGCTAAATGTTATGTTAATGTTCTCCACACTGATGGTAGAAATATGCAAATGTAGGCTCAAAGTATGCATACTGTTCATATTAAGTTTTCAGACTTTTGATAAAATGTAGGTAAATAATATCAAAAGGTATATTGAAAATTAGTAAATTTTGTATAAAACCAGCATGTGTACAGCTTATGTTTACATTGGAATAAATTTATCGGCTATATTAGGAAAAATCTTCATGAACATAGTAGCAGAAAAGCAGTTGCTTTTGCTTTTGGCTTGCAAAGAAATGGAAGCAAAAATATTTTAAAAATAGCATGATTTTGTCTGCTTTATCTGGATGAATAGTGGCATTTTCTAACTGCTTGCCTCTTGGGCACATAAGTCATCATGTTACATTCTTACTAATAGTCTTTGAACTTCTTTCTCTGTCCTTTTCTTCCGGGCCGTATGTTGCTGCCTTTAGCGCTTCAGCATGGAAGGGATCTCAAATGTCATTCAGAATGGCCTCCGCCACACCTTTGGAAATTCAGGTGGAGAGAAACAGGTGCTCGGTTATCCTTATTTTCCTCGTTCTCTGCTTTTTCATTTTCTGTGTAAGTGAAGATCCTGATAGCTGGCAGTTTTACTAATTTACTAAGACCACGGCTTAAAAGAGAGAAATCAAAGTTCATTATATTTATAGTCTTGATGATGAACAGAATTTCCCTTTGTGGAAAAAGCATTTTCAAATTGGACAATAGACAATGCATTTTTAAGACATGTTTTAGAGCTCCATTTCTCACTTTTACCTTTAAACAAATAGATATTAACGTATTGACATAATATATTGCATGTGTAGAAACTTTGTCAAAATAACTAAACTATTAATAGAATATGCTACTATAATTCTAAAAGCCTAAGAGACAAGATCTCATTTTGTGGGGAGGAAAGCTAGATGTTGATATGTTTGAGACTAAAATTCTAGGCCAAAATATATATAGAGTATATTTTATCTCCTTTAAATGAAATTCATGTGATTTTAAGGTGTATTACATAGTCAGCCAAATCAGTTGTCTGCCAAATGAGGCATGAGATGTTATTTATACAAAATCATGCATAGATATGATATACAGTCAAATGTGTAGCACTTTGCTTTTTATTTACATTTTTGCATAATGATTTAAGGAGTATCATGAACATGGGAAACACATCTACATTAATGAGTGTACTTAAAATTACCTTTCCCCATTTCAAATTTCCACTTTAAAAAAAACATTCTGTAAGTTAGCTCTTAAGTGAAGATTAAGAAGGTATGCAGAATGCAGCTTGTAGGTAGTTTATCAAAAGAATGCCTAGGTCAAATACCTAGAGTTTTTACCTAAGGTAGCTGTGTATTTCTCAAGAAGGGAAATAATCAATATTAAAGAGGCGAGGTTCACACTGGCATTGGCAGCTCCTAAAGAGGCTCCATGGGAGGGTGGTTGAAGTTTTGTTGTTGTTCTGCTGCCTGTCACCTCTCTCAACCCACAAGATGGGGCAAAATGACTTCCAAACTGACATGACACATGGGAGCAGGGGGAGGGAAGCCTGAAAACCTAGCCAGGTATCCCAGCATGTCAAGGTGCAGCTTCCTGATGCTTCTGCAACTTGCCTGACACATGCTATTAGTGGAGCCCTAGGAGGGCATATTTCTGGCTTTTTTTTTTTGTTGTTGTTATTCTTTACAAAGAAACTTAATTTGGTTACACAACTGGAGAAGTCTACTCCAAAAAGATGGTGGAACGCTAAGTTTCTTAAAGATAGAATGATTCAGTTTTACTGCTTTTCTTGACCTAGGTGTCCAGTTATTGTTAAGCATCTTTCTTCATCTTATTTTTCAATTATGGGTAGGATAAGATTACTCAGTGAGGATTAGCAATAGAGCTGAGATTTAGGGCATGGGACTAAATCATGGGTGGGCTGAAGAGATTCCAAGTAAAAACAAATAGCTTTTTATATGAGCATATGCAAATGCCCTGAACTATATATTTTTTTGGTGGGGTGGTCAGAATAGGAAAACCTGGGCAATCATTTAATAGATTATGTTTCATGGGATGTAGTTATAACATATAACTCTGCTATTCGTGAGCCTTTACAAGTAGTGAACTAGGCAGTTTGTTTCAATTTCAGACATTAATTTTCATTATTAATTTCCCCTTGGGCCAATCTCTACTTTCACTTTTCTCCTTTAATACCTAAAAACATTTATAACTACTTACACAATAATTTAAAATAATAGTAATAATACATTTCTAAAATTATTCGAGTAAATGTGTCTTTGTTAGCTCCTAGAAAAAACTAATATGTGTTTTTTAAAGTTGTTTATGTTGACCATTTTGTTCATTTGAAATAAAAGTGGTCTGAAACAATTATTTGGCTGTTGGAAATTATTTTGTTGTACAGAACTGTTAAAATTGTTTTTAGTTTAAATTACTATTCTTAAAATGTGTTTAAAAATATGCAAGGAAAATGTTAGATAAGATTTCACTTTAAAAATGGACAAATTGAGTAAATCATCCTCAGACTTAGTTCTGTGAAACGTTCAATAAATGAAATGTAAAAAGTGGTTATTTGTGTTGACACTAAGTTTGTATGAAGCAGAGGTGGGCAAAAAAAGGAGTTCCAGCTGAAATAGTAAGATACCTTTATTCCCATGTATACCTGTGTTTTCATTGCTAAAGTAGCTCATATTTTGTTTTATAAACAAGACCTTCTAGTAACTGTATCAAATTTTTTGCACATAAGGTAACTCAGATTTAAGTGACACATTTTTTTTTTTTTTTAACTTGGCAGTATTTGACAACAGTCATTCCTTATGAGAAAAAAAATGGACCACCATCTGTTGAAGATCTTCAAATATTAACAAAAAGTGAGCAAAGACAAAATTAAACTGTTACTTGATTTACTCTTGCTGATGCTTAAACACCTGATTTTAGTTGGCTAATTTTGTTGTTATTGTTTTGTTTTGTCAATTTAGGAGAGTAAATGATGGATGTCATTATTTATTCTTATGAGAATGAAATTAGAAATGGCTGTGATATCAAATATAACACTCTTGTGTCGATTTGTATTTTTTATGTTTTTCTTACCTTTTGAAATATTTATGAGCTAAACTTTTGGGGAGAAATGTCACTTGAATCTCTATCATTTCTTGTATGCTTAAGAACTTATCCATTTATCAATAAAATGCTTAATGGATCTTACATATCTATGGTTGTCAGTAACTGAATAGGACAGATTATGGTAAACACCGTTATTTCTTACGAATGTAGGACCCAAGGTAGTAGTTATAGGTAGAACATTAATTGATAGCAATGTTTTAAGAACATGCATTCATTCATCAAGTGTTCGGTGAAGGCCTACTGTATGCCAGGTCCCGTTCTGGACACTTGGGATACTTCAGCGAACAAAGCGGACACAGATACTCCACCTTCCCAAGAGGCTTGCATTTTAAAATAATCTGTTAGATTTAAATATACTTTATATCGAGTATCCCCTATGATAGCCATAAATGAACTCTGAATTTTGGTTCTATCCCTGTTATTTTCAAGGATATCCTTGGAAGTCAGTTATCCTCTCTTGCTCACATTGTAAAACTAGGATAAAAAATATTTGCTCTATTTACCTCATAGTAAGTAACTTAATGTATGCGTGATTTGGGATAAGTTTTATCAATCAGCCGTGTTTTCCTTGTTCTTAAAATGGAGAGATTGAATTTGCTATCTATTTGGTTCTAATTGTGAATATTTATGACAATTGCTAATGAGGAGGGAGCCGCATGAAAGAACGTCACCTGGATGGATGTTGATGATATTTACTCTGGAAACTCAGGACACAGCAAAGGGTGGGGGGCGCTTGAGGGCAGAAGGAAGTGTCTTATTTCCTAGCTCCCTGCCTGCTAAGCTGGGTTTTTTTCCTTTCCTTTGGTGAACAGTACTTAAAAAACATTTTATATTTAAATCTGCATAAATCAAGTGATGCCAGCCAGTCTGAAATAAAGAATCAAGAGATTAACTGGGTGGCCAGCCCTCTAATTTTCAGGAAGAACTCACAAAGTTACGAGTGTCCCTGATCACACAGGGGTATGGTTAATGACAGGGCTGGCTCTCTTAATTCCCAGGCAACTGTACTTTTAATGATGCTGGCTTTTGGTATGTGATTTTATACAGAAGTTAAAAAAAACCTAAAACATGATTGGAAGCAGAAATACTGAACAATAGTAAGTAAGCCCTCTAAAGAAGGGAACATACATATTGCTCATAAACTAGGAATTACTGGCAGGCCTCAGCTTTTCAGATCAAGGACACTTACTTGGTCAGACTAAAGTCATTGTAATTCCAACATCAAGATGTCTTTATAGATTGATGCAGTTTGGAATCTTTGGACATCTTGAGGTCCAAAGATTCTTTCCTTTCCAAAAGAAGAGCCCTGTGGAGATAGTCACAGTGTTTATAGAGATGTAACCTTCTTTATAAAAGCTATTAGCAGGGGATCCCAGGCTCAATAATAATAGTAAAAAGAGTTTTAATCCTATCAGTAGTGTTAGTTATGGCTAATACTTGCATAGCATGTACTATGTGCCAGACACCATTATAAGACCTTTATATCTGAATTGGTAACTTAATCCTCATAACAAGCCTTTGAGATAGATCTTAATTATTATTTTCATTTTTACAGATGAGGAACTTGGTACAAGAGTGGTGAAGTAACTTGCTCAGTGTCATGCAATTGGGAAGTAGCAGAGTCAGGGTGTGAACCCAGTAAGGCTGCCTTGACAGTTACTCTGTGTTGCTGTGTCATATGTGCAGGAAAAACAGTGAGGTGTTTTCACCAGGGTGCTCTGGAGAAAATTTGAGTTGGCAGTCACTGTTAAAGTACCGTATTTGTGAATTTAGCTCTACCTGGATGGTGTAGATTTAAAAAAAATAGAAGACATACTAAGTGGCTGTTCTTTCTGTATTGATCTTTACTTAGAAGATAAAATTCTCAAAGATTCCTTTAGGGTAAGTCTAATGCACCTGGGTTCCTCCATAGCGCAGAAGGAATAGGTAGCCTGGCAGGTGCCAGGTGCTTCGTGGAAAGCTGTTCTTCATTTTGTTTTTTTTTTTTTTTTTTTTTTAAAGTTTCCAAGAAGCCCAGCAGATATGCTCCTTGGAGAGTATAGCTAACTATCCATTTATCCTAGAGTTTCCCCAGTTTGCTGGATCGCAGCACTGAGGTCCTCTGATTCCACAGAGTTCCTGGGAGTGCACGCCACAGTAACCCACTTTCCAGTATTTATGATAGCGTGGAGGCTCCGTGTAAATAACCCAATTCCTCTTTCCTGCCTCTACTGTCTGGAAGTTTTAAATTAGGGAAATAACTCCCAGGTAAGTGGGATATTATTAATATCCCACTTATAAGAAATTACTCAACTAAAAATAAATTTTTGAGGCTTTATTGTTGTATTCTCTTATCAGGATAATCTATAATTTATATGAATCAGTTATGTAATTAAGATTAGGGCTACAATGATTGAAATTAAGTATTATTTTGGATCTGAATTTTCATTTGTTGCCTTTTTCCCTTTTCTCCTTTATTTTGTAGTTCTTTGTGCCATGAAGGAGGACAGTGAAAAAGTTCCGAGCTTATTAACTGATTATATACTGAAAGGTGAGTTTTATAATGGTATATGCGTAATGGCTGGGAAATTTTGATTAGTCAGTAAATGCATCATCGTCTTGCTCATAGATTAAAAAAGTAGCTTTCGAATGCACAACTTTTATTAATCTTATTGTACAAAGTGAGGATAGATACATGACTGACTTTTACCACCAACATTAGAAATTATGGTTATATAAAATTTAGCTTTTATTTGAGGTCCTGGGCTGGAAATAACTTTTTTGCAGTTAAAATAGCTTGAGTAAGACAGTAGAGGCAAATTAGTAAAATACTGGCATAATTATGTGTGGGTATCACACGTCGGCACATTGACCCTGGAAAATTTGAGAAGGGTGGTCTCTGTCATCTTGGGGACAGTGGAAAAGCACAGAGGACAGATCATTAGTGAGGACAGATGAAGGAAGGAATGGTCAGATCTGTGAACAGTGCCAAAGGGAATACAAAAGGGATTGGTGTAAGGGACAGAGGGAGGGAAGCGGGGAATAAAAAGAATGGACTTTCATAAACCCAGGACAGTGAAAAACGAGCTATAAATCTTAGGATCAAGATCACACAGGATGGGAATATTGATGAGGCAAAAGAAGAGCGTTTGAGAAGTGAAGAAGTTATTTACCTTCCTGAAGAAAGAGCAAAATTTGTTGATGAAGAGAGGCCTGAAGAACTTAATTATAGGCAAAACTAATACTTTTGAATGAAATTATTTTTTAAAAGTAGCAGTTATTCAGACAGCAGATTTTCAAGTCATCACAAAATGCATCTAGTTAATGTTTCATCAAAGTTTGAGAGCAGTCCTCTTCTAGTAACATTTTTCTTCTTTGGGTTCTCTCTCTTGCCCCTCAGAGTTGGCTGAGCATAGGAAGCTTAGGATTTCTGAGATGTTCGGTATCTCAGATGGGACTTTTCTTCAACAGTGGTACACACAGGTGCCCACAGTGAATAAACATAAGTTTCATGTGTAAGAGGCTTGACATGGATTTAAAAACAGGAGCTCGCCATTAGTGGGTTAACACTGGGGTAGCACAGACTGAATTGACATCATTTTTAAATAAGCTGTTTTTCTGGTGGAGGGCTTTTTCTCCCTATTAAATTCTGATCTTTTTTTTTTTTTTTGGTAATACCTGACATCTTTGTTTGCTTTTGTGTTGTGCTAGCATTGGTATGAAAGCTGGATTGTTCTGAGGTTTGTTCTTCTAGATGTGAAACAGGAATGAGACGAACACAAAGAACATGTCTTAAATTTTAATTATAGTGGGTCCCTCAGGCACTGCCGTGAGGGCCAGAGATAGAATGAGCTTCTGAAGCATTCTCTAGGTATTTTAGCATTTGACTGTGTGGAAGGATGTTATGACCCAGAGAACAGAGTGCTCTGGGGGAAAATGATTTTTAATTCTTTACTCTGAAAACCTAGGCCCGTAATTGTGAACCTACCCATACCGCATGCCTTAGGGAAGCAGCACCCATCTAATTCTGCTCCTCATGCTCGGGCCGCTGGCTCCTGTCTGTAAGCCCAGTTCTCTCTCTTCTGTACCTGCTTCTGATGAGCTGTTTGTGTGCATGTGTTGTGGTTTTGTCTTGGCTTTGTATTGTGAGGACTGGGTGGAAAAGCAGCTAGGATTCAGACTACAGCGGAGACCCTGTAGTCCGAAAAGATGAAGAAGGGAGTGTAACGCGGAGAGAGGTATTCAGGGGTGTGGGAAGGTCCTGATGAGGGGGTCATTTGAAATGCTCTTTTCCACCCATCCTGGAAATTCACAGCTGGTTACCTGTTCTCTTTCTTGGGGACACTTTGTCTGGGAGGTGGGTGTTGCTCAGGGGAGAACTCTCCTTTTTTGGCTGGGCTTTGTCATTGTTTTAACACAGATGAGTGTGGCTTGGCTGCCTAAATATACCACCTTAGTTTTAATGCAAAGGTCAGAAGTGAAAGAAGGTAGAAAAGAGGCCTCATTTGGCCTAAGATAGGATAGGCACTGGATGGGCTAATTGAGCTGCTCTTTCTCACACCTGCTTAATTACCCCACTGCAGCCTGCCGCCACCACTGCCTTCGACAGTCGTACCAGAGGCTCGTATCGTGTGCATGGCTGCCGCTGTGCCTTTCCTAGACAGGAATAAAAACGTGTGCAGAAACTTGCACCCTTCTTTGACTTCCACCAGGGAGCCTGTTTGCTGTGTCACAAGCCTTATGGAACAGAGCTAACATTCTGGGCTTCTGTCTCCAAGTGGTAGACATGGCCTTTTGGTGTCTCATTTCTGGGAAATTCTAATACATCTGTCATGAGAGAACTTATCATTGTTGGGTATGGCCTCTTAAAGCCCTGCCCTTTTGTTTTAAAATTGCTACTCTAACTATAGATCCTTGCATTAATATTTAGTTCTCATTACTTGATGTTTTTATATACATGTAAAATGTGTATACATTTTGTGTAAATGTACAAGAAATACATTTCTGTCTAAATGCTGTCTTTTTCTTCCTCTAGTTCTGTGTCCCACATAGATGGAGCAGCATTACTCCGGGAGCAGCTTTATCTTCTGTGGACCGCGAGCTGGATTTCCTATAGCATTATTCTGAAAGCAGGCAACCATTACCTTCTTGCTATTGGAAACTTGGCACACTTGAACTTGGGTTTGTGATTCAGTATTAATAGATCATGACTTCATTAATTCTTTATATTATAGAACTGAGAGAAATGTGAGCACTATTTCTTATCCTAGAGATGGTTTTTGTTCAATCTACTACTAATCATGAACGGTTCTCTTAGTAGAGTAAGGGAGAGTAGTATTAATTGTGCATGTAACAGTTACATTTTTCATTAACTGACAGTATGCCCATTTGAGTTTTTATGGCTTTCTACATCTAAACAGCACTGAAGAACTAGATTAAAGCAGTGGGAGATTTATACTGTAAATTGAGTGATGGTAAGAACCAGCACTGACTTTTATGAGAACTGTCAGTATACGTATTACCTACCAGTATTGTCCAGAGAGACTGAATCTTAACAAACTTGGGCTGTTCTTGAAGCAGCAAAACCAGAATATGCATTACTTTGGCTTTTAATACTTGGGATCGAAACTGTCCAAGATGACTGATTTTATAGCTTGCTTTTTTTTTAACCATTGTTCGAATTTTAGCCATTAAGTTGCTATTCACTTTCGGAGTCTTATTTAACTTTAGATGTTTAAATGTTTCCTGTGTCTGTGAAGTGTACTTTAAAAGGAGTTTGTATCCTTTAAGGTGCTTAAGAATCTGTGCTACAGCACTGCCCACTTCCCATCCTTGCATTTTATTTTATTCATGCCTGTGCATTTTCCTAAAGTACTAATTCTAGAAACAGCTACTCATGGATGTATCATTGGTCATGAGCACATTTGCCAGTTCCGGTCAAGTCAATGGCATTTAATAAATTTAAAAAAAAGCAATATATGCCTGAAAGCCTTATTTTTGGGAGTTTTTGTTGTACTTGTTCCCCCCCCCCTTGCAGTGCTAGGTCCTTTCCCTTATTCCACAGAGTCTATTGCTACAGCGTGTGAGCTGGTGAAACCTCGATTAGTGCCATGTTGCTAAGGAGGGGAGAGGGACTTTTCCAGATTGTGCTGGGCTGCTGTGGAGTAACAGAAGTCCTGCTCCTTTTCAGAGGCTGTGAGACATTCCAACAGCTACGGCAGCTCCCTCCCTTAGGTAAACACAAGTGCGTAAGCGTCTATGTGGGACCTGCTATTGGGGGGGCTTTTAAATTTCCACTCAAGCATTTGTGAGCACAGAGGGCTACCTGCATTCCTTACTCCACGCGGTAACCGAGACACCAGGACTGCAAAGGCAGGAGCTTGGTTTGAAGTTTGTGCCCGCTTGGCACATCAGCCGTTTTCTAGGGGTACGTGAAACTTGAGAGGGTGTCCTTGTTTTATTAATGTCTTATTTGCCCCTTCCCTGTGAATTGATGAAGATACATACTTACACAATAATAATTATTTCATTTGACCTGAATTTGTAAATACTATGCCATGTACTTAAAGTATATACAATATAGCAAAAAGTCCTTAGGGGATAATGTTTTTTGAAGAGATGCAACAATGGTCTGTTTATAGCTCCTTCTGAAAGTGATGCTTCTGAAATGTATGAAAATATGCCTATTTATTCCTATCAACTCAGAGGCCCCTCGTAGTTGGTTTCTCCTGATTGTGCTTGGTGTGGGGTTCCCACCACAACCCTCCTGTGCATGATGAGCACGTGTCTGACTTCTGACACAGGTAGGTTTTTGCCTCCCTAAGAACAGTTCCCCCCCGCCCATGCTGTGTACTCTGGGGGTGTACCTCTGCACCTGTCTGGCAAGGATTTTTTTGCGGAGAGGCACGGGCGGGCAGAAGGGTGTTCTTGTGATGCTGGAGGTTCATAGAACTGGCAACTTAATTAAAGACCATTCGTCTTTCTGATCTGGATCTTTTACATCGTGCGATTTCGACTCAAAGTATTTATTTACTGCCAAGAACCAAGTTGTAAATAATCCCTTTACTGCTTTCTCTTTTGAAGAAAACAAAGACAGACTGTAGAACTACGGTGCACTCCAAGTGCCATATATCTATTTTATTCTTCAGGAAATTATATTTGTTTTTCTTTTACAAGAGCACAACAGGAACCAAAGTAAAAGAGTAATAGATACAGCACTCAGGATAAATCATATCTTTAAAATAATAATAAAAAAATTTACACCTTGTCCTATATCCTGTTAGTATTTTCATAATATGGCCATGATTGAAAAAAACAAAAAGCAAGCATTTATAATTTTTTTGATAGACTTTTTATGCCAGGAATGGATTAATTGTCAACAAAATTTATACTAATCAGGCTGATGTCAATCTCTTTTGGTAATATATCATTAACAAATTTATTTTGGAAATAGATAAAAAATATTGCCCCTTGATAATAAATCTTTTTCCTTTGATGCAAACAGCTAGAACACCTTTTTCTTTTTCTTTTTGATATTCTAAGAGAAAAAAATGGTTAATCTTCAGATTAATAAATTAGGTCATTATAATAATAAATTAATTTTTTTTAAAGTTCAGCAACCTCTGTCCAAGTATTTACAACAATACTTGAAAGTTCCTTTACAAAACAGAACACATTTTCTTTTCACATTAAGCATACTGGGTATCTGTGTCTTTCACAACAAGCATTTTTAAAAGAAAAATCAATGCACAAATGGGTAATTAGTATAAAAGTGCTAAGAGCTGTTTGAAAAGTTAACACTATAGTATACAGTCAGTTATATCTGAGGCAACCTACAACAAACTTCCAGCTTATTGTGGACAATATTCCAGTAGTTGTTTCAAACAGTTGTTTGAAAAAAAAAAAAAAAATCCAGGAGCTGATTAGTGATGCAGATTAAAAACTGCCATCAATGTCTCTGGCCAGTGAGCGAATTGAAAACCAACTGAAAGCAAATCCAATTGAGGAATAAGATTTTAATAAAGGAACACCCTTTTCTGTAGCAGGTGCGATGCTGACCGCTCAGGGTGCACACACACATTCACACACACTCTCACTCACACACACCATCTTTCCAATTAAACTGCAGGTAGGATGAGATTTTGTGTTATTCAAAAAATTTGTAAGTGATCAAAAGCATTGATATGGAATGCCTGTTTATCTGCCTTTGTTCTGGTTAAAATTTCATAAAAATACATTCAACAGGAAAACATAAATTGTATGTGTATAAATATATACGTATATATATTATATACACATGCACACAAATACTTTTGTTTTTTGAAGCATAAGATAGTTACATAAATATTCCTATAATTGCTAAAGTTTAAAGAGGCATAATTTTTTTTTGAGCTTCAACAAAGGTGCTTGAATAATATACAATTAAAATGAAGTAGTTTCTATTTTGTAGAATCAGTATATAATAAAAGAAAAAAAATCCCCAGTCTTAAAAAAAAAAAAATCTCTTCTTAAGCTAGAGCCTCAACAAAAACTATGAACAACAATATAACAGAACAAAGCAACAACAAACAATGAAGTATAGCCCCTGGAAATGCCTGGCGTTCTTCACCCACTCTCTCCTTCCTGCCACACTGTTGTAAGAAAAGCTCCAGTGCTCGCATCAAGAAATGACTTAGATCTCGTTCATCTGCTGACTCTGCTAGGAACTGGCTGATTGGCTTGGAAGAAAACAAAAGCAGCAAAAAGTATAACTGTATATATCCTTAATAACCCGCTTTAGAGAAATGCTGCTATCGCATTTCTCTTGCTTCCTCACTGCCTACTGCAGTTGTGACTGTATAGAAAAGAAACTTGTGGCTTTAGACCTGGGATGGCTATCAAAAGCTTCTGATGCGCTTGTCTGGTAGTTCTAAGGTGGTTATGGCAGCTGGGTCGCAAGGCCTTTTTTGTTTCCTGCTCATTCAGGCCTGAGCTTTGCAGCAACCAGTGCAGTCTTCAGAGCAACAGGAAAATATATCCTCTGGACCACCGAACTGCTTTGACTTTACTAGATTTCTCCCCGAGCCAAGCTGACCAATTTTTCTTCCCAACACCACCCTCCCACCCATTTCCCCAACCAAACTCACTGTCCCCACCCCCAAATACCTCTACAGCTATTTTACAAGCAAATATATCTTAGCAACTTTAAAAACTTTGGTTCTAAGAAAACACTTGGTCAGTTATCTTGAGGAAAAGTGGGAATGCTTGTTCTGCACATTGCTGTAGACAGAGCCCATCCCAGTAAGTTCTTAGTGCTGTACATCAAGTCACAATCCAATACAATCCACTAAGCAAGTGCACAAATTCTAGTTTACTTTTAAGAGCAGATTTAGTCGTTTTCTGTCTTTTGAAACCTCATCCAAGTTGCCTTTTTTCACACTGTCTGGTAGAAATTGTCTGCCTGTAGGTGGTTCTGTTTTTGCATGCTGTAGAAGCCACTGAATCTTGCGTCTGGTTCAGCAATTCTTAGCATCCTCTGGGAACTGTCTACCTGGACTCTGGTTCCTTTCTTGCAGTCCACAGACACCAGCTGATTATTTAAGGAAGAAGGCTATTTAATGAGAAGAGAAAAAGCACGAAGAATTAGCTGCTTTACATATCCCAAAGGAACAGAAATTTAGCACCTGATTCAAGCCAGACGATAGTTTCACAATTCATTGATAGGATGTAATACTCCACGTGCAGTCTAATCTAGCAGTAACTATACTTTTATGAGGGATACTGACAGACTGCATTTAAAGGTGAAATGGCAAGAAACTATGTCAAATTGGGAGATGAAGGAACTGACGAAAAAAGATTGGTGAAGTGCTCATTTCAAATCCCTGAAGTGGAGACTTTGTTTAATAAGGTTGGAGAATGACTGGAAGTTACCAGGTGGGCAGATTTTAAAAACAAAGGGACGATCTCTAGTCACTCAGGCTGGGTAACAGCATCACAGTCTGGGCCAGCCCATCTGTGCCTAGTCATCTCACTCGCTTTCCGAGAGGGTCTCTATTCTCAGCTTTGGACAGTGGCGACTGTGTCTTACTGAGCGCAGAGGCTGTGCCCAGCGCATATTTGGTGAAAGAAAATCAGACGATCTGACAGAAATTTTATATGGAAGGGTTCACTAGACAGTTAACAGCATTCAGGCTGTTTCCAATTTTTAGGGTTGTATGATTTTTTAAAAAACCCAACTAAATGCAAAACGTAGAATTAGAGTTGGATGGAATTAAGATTTCCCTTAATTAACACAGTTCTTTCTTGCCTTTTAAAATAGATACGAAGGCCCTTGGTATTTGTATTGAAATCAAATACATATTCTTTCCCCCTCAGTATGAAATCTGCCTCTCTCTAGTCTAGTATTATTTCCTACCATCTCTTCATCTTTTGCTACCTTTCCACGTATGCCAGCCTTTGACACATCAACTTGTCCTTTGGACTTTTGTACATGCTCACTATCTTCCAGCTTTCTTGCTGCCCTCTCCTGAGCAGTATTCTCCCTTTGGGATTTCTTTTCTCTCCCATTTCTAAGTTGATAGACGATTAAGCAATTTCCAGGTGATCAAGTTTTAATGTCTAATACAAACAACAGTGATGTAGGAATCAATCTAGAGGTATTTTCATTTGAAAACTTTAAAGTACACCAAGGAAACTGGATCCAGGAAAGGTCAAGATTCATTAACCAATGGGTAATGGATAATTCACCCAGTGATCAATCCAGCCCCAAGCAAGTACTATGTATTTGATTGCTACAGCCTGAGGCCTATGAATTATAAAGTAAAAATTTCACTGATTAATATAAAAGGTTTTAAGCAATTTTAAGGAAATATGAGCATGAGCTCAGTTTCACCATTGAAAAGACTGTAACTTTCTCAAGGTGGTACCTTAGTTGGTGTTCGATACCAGTAAAGGAGTGGTATCCACTGTTTCTTCTGATTGATGAACAGGAATGCTATTATAATAGAGAGGCATAT